GGGGCTCAGCTATAATACGACGTCAAAATTCCATCAAACCCAATTTGGGTGGACCTTCAAGGTGTCAGCAGAATTTCTCGCATGAGAAGAATTCGTGAACTTTAGTGGAGCTCATCATCAGCGTTGTGGACACTGCTGACACGTCGCCATTCTTCAACAAGGACAGTTTCATAGCTGTGATCTCTGAAGATGCTCGAGTTGGGACGCGGATCCTGCAAGTGAAAGCCGAAGGCGAATCGTCGCTGAAGTAAGTCTCGAAATGTAAGCCTGTGCCTTGTCCATGCTAGTCTTCTCCTGCTTTGCGTTGTGTAGTCCCTCTCCTTTCGCCCTTGCAGGTACTCGCTAGAAATTCTCAAAGGCCCTACCGATGTGTTAGAAATCGACCGTGATGGCTTCATTCGTAACAAGGGCAAACTCGATTTTGAGTTGTTTCGCGCGATCAGCGGCCGGGTTCATGCCATTGACGAGGACGCAAACGAAGCCGTCACTAACTTTTCCCTCATTCTCACCGATGCCAATGATAACAGGTGCTTCTACTAATCATCACTGTTGTGTTCGGCATGTTCTCTTCTATGTGAATTACTCAGATAGTCGTCTATTTCAGGCCTGTATTTGTCAACGGCTCCGTATTTACGGTACAAATCGACGAATCCGCAGAAGTGGGCACAGTTTTAAATCTACCGTATCCGTTGGCAAGGGATGGAGATGTTGGCAATTTTTCGAGATTGCTCTACTCGTTAGTAGGCGATGATGGACATTTCACCATAGATAGAACGTATGTATAGACTTTTCACCGTACTATCGACAAGAAATGTGCGTTTTCGACCCCTCGACATTTTTTTCAGGACCTCAAAAATCAGCGTGTCTTCAAAGCTTGATTATGAAACGCAACGCTCACATTCGCTTACAGTACGATGTGTAGACAATGCTGGTGAAGATCCCTACAATGAAGTTTTTGCTTCAGTTGGTTTCCCAATTCTTACTGTGCTTATATGGGGACATGCTCTGCAAATGAGCAACGCTTAGGTTACTGTACTCGTGCGCGACGTCAACGACAACATTCCAATAGTGCACAATGCCGACCTCACTCATCTTACCGTATCTGAAGATACTCCAGTTGGGACCACTATCACTGTTATCAGTACTAGCGATATTGATGAAGGTATTTTGACTGTAAATTGCATACTGCCGAAATAAATAATCCATACCTAGGCGGAAAGCAAGAAGTTCATCTGAGTGTAAATCACACTCTTTTCCGCATTGCCGATGAGGGTAAATTGGTCGTTGCAGAAAAATTGAATGGTTATGCTGGGGAAAGAGTAGGTTTTCTACACATCTAAAAAAAAATTCATTGCTACCAAGAACTTTGTATTTTACAGTTATGTTCTACCATCCAAGCCAAAGATAGCGGTGATCCCCCTCTGTCTG